GGCACAAGCACAAGCACAAGCACAAGCACAGGCATACAGAAGAGAGAGAGAGGGAGAGAGGAACAAGCACAAGCACAGGCATACAGAAGAGAGAGAGCAGAGCAGGCCCAAGCACTGTCATACAGAGACAGAGGGCACACGCACAGGCATATATATATATATATATATATATATTATACAAGGAAATAAAGTTCATTTTTTAGGAAATTATTTTAGAATAACTTATTTTGTATATCTCTAATATTAAATGATTAACAAATCCTAAACAATAATATTTGTATCTAAAATATGAAAGATAAACAAAGTGCATTTCTCATACTATTTTTTAAAAAAACGTACAGAAATCCAGAAATTAAATATTTATGGTAATCTCATAGATGGATGGCAATCTTATTATGAGGAAATTTTCCTACTTTATAAGGGAAGAAAAAGATATGCAAAGAAACTCTATTTCTTTGGGACTCTAGTGTGCAGGGGGGTTTTCAACTTCCTAAAGAGAGAGGAAAGATCTAAAAGTTTTTATTATATCAAACAAACCTTGTGGTCTTTATTGCATGATGACAACACTGACTCAGATCCTACGAAATATGGTGTCAAAGTATAGATTATGAAGGCAGTCGCTTTTAGTAAGCAATGGGCAATAAGAGGCTCCAAACACTGGACTGTCTCACCAAAGTTTTGCCTAGTTGATTCAGATTTTCTTCTCGGATCCATTTGGCATCTCCCAATTCCTCATGGATTCCATGGCTTATTTTATGGAGGTTTAGTCTACTGAAATTTCCTCTCTAGGCAAAGATTCCTTTAGGGCGTGTTTGATAACAGGAAGGTAAACGTGCATTGAAAATTAAAAGTTCTTCTTTATGGAAAAGAAAGAAGTTATTATAAAATTTTAGGTGTCTATATTTGATAACCTATTGAAATGTTAAAGAAGTTCATATTTTAAGTTGAGAATAAAGTTTGAGGAAGTAGAGGAGAAGGCATGAGGCATTAGGCCGATGTGGGCTTCTGTTGAGAATAGGGTTTGAGGAATAAGCGCGAGGGTGAGGGAGGAGGTACATCATTTCTATTTTAAGTTCCATTGTTTTAGACATTACATTTTTTTTCTTAAGCACAAGGGAGTAAGGAAGGGAATTTACTTAAGCACAAGGGAGTAAGGAAGTTCCCTTCTTTACTGTATAAGTTCCGTGCATCAAACAAAGACGTAGAGTAATGAGGAAGTTACTTCTTCCTCCCCCTAACTTCCTATTATCAAACACACCTTTAGAGAATATGCCTTTAGCTCCTTTGGAGGGCACTTAGGAAACTCACACATGTGCTGGTGTGCTTAAGGAGAAAACTAAATTTTGGACCACACCAGGCATTGATGGAGATAGGTGACCAGATGGTGTATTTGTCGAACTGTGAGTTTGATAGATATCTCTATGGGTAAGCCAGCCAGGTTCTGTTGGGATGAGAAGCCTCTGTGCAAGTCGAAAGCAATATGTTGTTCATTTTCGTGTTTGAAATTTTATATGTAACTCCACCATTGGTGTTCTAAAGCCCTCTGGAGGAGTGTGGTTGAGGTAGAGCCATGAAGTCTCTATGGATGTTTCAAATCAGACATTATCTCTTCATTCAGGGCTGCTAAACAGGTAGGGTCAACCATAACTGGGTCAAGCTCTGGAGTCTAGGCCTTAAAAGTGGGAATAGCGAGTTAGGTCTCAGTCCAACAGACCTGGACCCAACTGGTTTTGGATCTAGCCCAGACCTATCTGGATCAGTTACAGCTCCATGTTAGGGTTGGTGTTGACTCAACCCGGTTCCCCACAAAGCAATTTCATTGAATGTGACATGACCCTCCTGTTCCATTGATGCTACCAAATTATCAAAATTCATATTTCTTTCGATGTCTCACTTATCCACATTTTAGGATTCCACTGATGTCGACAAGGTGGTGATCTTTCATGCGAGGAACCTAGGAAGGATGGAAGCCAGTTTCATGACTTATGTCCTTAGAACATATAAAATGTTACGTGACTTGGCTTGTGTTACGAACATCCAAGCATTTCCAATATTGAACATATTTTTAAAGAGTAATATATCATCATCATTTTAGCTTTTTTTCAATTAATCGGAGTCAGTCACATGAATCTTGGTTCTCCATTCTACTCTATTAAATGTCATATCCTCAGTAAAACCATAAGTCCCCATATCTTTTCAGACTACTTCTAACTATGTCTTTTTGGGCTTATCCCTTGTCATTTTCAGTCCTTCTATTTGAATTCGCACCGCCTAACCGATGTTGTACTTGGTCGACGCCACACATGACCAGCCCACCTAAGTCTACTCTCTCACTCATTTTATCACCTATTGGTGCCACGTCTAAATTCTATTGAATAGATTCATTTCGAATTCTATCCCTTATTGTCTTGCCACTCATCCATTTCAACATCCTCATCTTTGTTATACTCATTTTATTGGCAATATTGTTTTTTGTCCGCCTAACATTCTACCCCATAGAACAAAATTGGTCTCACCATTGTCCTATAGAACTTGCCCTTCAGCCTTATTGGTATGCAGCAATAACATAAAATTCCAGCTGCACACCTCCATTTCACCCACCCAACTCTAATTTTGTGTGCGACATCTTTCTCAATGTCTCTATTTTCTTATATTATCAACTCAAAAGATATCGAAAGTGAAGTATTTTTGTACTTCTTGACTGTTAATTGAATACATCGGATTATATACCATCAAATTTATATTACTCATTGAATATATATATATTCCCTTAATATGTGAACAAAAGGTTTTTATTAAGTTTTATTATATATCATAATGAACGCTATCACATGTATATGTGAGCGTGAATAATACATTTATACATGATAAATGACACTATGAGACCCTCCCATACTCATGTAAGTAGAACTCCAAAGGATCACCATTAAATTTGACACAGATATCCAGAAAAGCTATCACATAGGTATGGGACTTGACTTTTCTAGAGATCTGTACCAAATTTGATGGTGATCATTTGAGTCCTACTCACATGGGCGAGGGAGGGTCTCATAGGATCATTACTCTTTATACATATATACTATTTAACTTCACAATGAAAAAAGAAATCAAAAGTAATATCATTAAAATTCATCATAGTAATAATGTTTACATGTACGGCTTGCATACAATGCTCAGAACAGGGGTTTCCTATAGGTTTCTTGAACCTGATCAACCTTTCGATCTCTCTGGTGCTGACGGTTGGATCAACAATTTCTCCTCCCAAAATCTGTAAAATGTCTTGCAGACCTTGAGCGGAGCGGAGGATGACACGCCCAAATGTCCCTTGCCAACATTTGAAGGTTGCGGAGATGCAATCAAATAGGAAACCCAATTGCCAGCATACAATGCTTCCTCTGTTGCGTATATTCATTCTTGTTAAATATGTTTCTCGTACTCCTGTGAGGACAAGTCCCAGTGTGGCTACTTTTCTTGGGTTGCCCTGTCAGGTACCTAGGCCATGGACACCAACACAGGTGTTGGTGTCCATGGAATACTTATATTGTTTGTTTGACATCTGTAATACACTATGTAAGCTATCAACAACATTAACAAATTAAACTCGGCCATCTTTTTACAAAAGAAAGTATAATTTTTTGAACAAATTACATAATTTTTTTTAACAACATAAGCCCCTATAGGAGGGAAGATCTTCACGCCCAAAGTAAGCAAAGGTGGATTCACGCAGTTGTAACAGGTAGCAGTGTAATTAAATGCTAAGAAATGATGTCAAAACTAAAGACACCATATCCTTTTTTTTCCTTTTTTCTGTGAAATAGAAAAAATAGTTGATAGTATTGTTTCTTCTAGATAAATCATATATTAATGTCCACCAGTTTCACATTTGGACAATTTTAAAGCAGGATTAATGCATCCTTTGCCCATTATAAGAAACAAGGAAGCATGTTCTGCTTTATCAAAAAAATCATCATGCCGTGGAAATAAGAAAGCAAGTAAACACACAAACAAAAGAAAATACGAATGGACAACTAAACTAGGAAACAGTTAGATAAGGCCAGCATAAGTGGCATGCCAAGCGCAGCAATTCAACAAACAGAAGATTATCATGTGTAGCCAATGATGGGGACAGAAAGTCATCGGCAGTTATATGAAATACAAAATTATTAGAAGTGGGATTCATGGCTCGGTGGTTATGGCGATGAAACCACAGTGTAAAATCAAGGGTTCCAATTTCACTGCTTACCTACCCCAAAAAAGAACCACAAAGCTATTAGTTGGATGAAGATAAGACAGTGGAACTCCTGAGACTAATCAGTCAAAGGATGGTATTAGAATTCATTCACACAAAACAAATGTTTGGGGAGGTTGAAAAGGGCTATAGTGAATAGCGAGAATGACCATTATATGGTTTTCGGAAGTGTCGATAAGTGAGTCTTAGTTGAGTTCTCCAACCGATACATAAGGAAGGCAAAAACCGGATATGGCTAAACACCAGAGGCAACGACAAAAAAGTGGGCAATTAAGGTTCGTGGTAGGCATTGTTATGGCATAAAGGAGCATGTAACACTGACAGGGGTGGAAACTATCTCATGGGGAGGGCACTATTTTGGTTCAGAGTTGAGACGGATGGCACTTGTAGCTGGAAGATAACGGAGAGGAAAACAGAAGAGAGAGAGGATTGGAGGGAAATATGACATGAGGAAGGCGGAGAGGCTAATAATCATAGAGAATGAAAACAATGTAAGGATGCTACGGGGTTTACAGCAGTTAGTATTTGACCCAGATGGCATTGTGGTTCTGTGAGTGCTTCCAGCCTCTCATTTCAACTAATGTATTAGAAAAAACAAGAAGTTTGTTCCTTCACTGGCATGGAACATGGTCTCATTTGAAGTTTTAAGGATGTGTTTCTCTCCCTTGTAGGTTTTACTGCACTCAGTTGTCATATGACATCTCACGCGTGCGTCACCTTTATAGCAACAAATTTGATTCTAGAGAGAAGAAATGCAGAACCCTTTGTCCCAGCTTCAAGTGTATAGCTTGATGTGTTATAAAAGTCATCATCTCAATCCAGAGGTTTTGGATTTAAACCCCACATTATCCACAACTAGCAAATGTTACTCCGCAGCTTAAAATACATTTACGGGAAGAAGGTTACAACAAAGAAAAAACAAAATCTTAAAAACTTTAAATTGTCAAATAACAGATAAAGACATGAAGTTACATCCAATAAAGAAAATTCTCCAAACCTACACAAGTTCAATGTATGCCATAGGAGCATTGTCACCTCTCCTCGGAAGAGTTCGGATGATTCTTGTATACCCACCATTTCTCTCGCCATACCTATCTTGAACCTCAGCAAACAATGCATGAACTATCTCTTTTTCATATATAAATCCCAAGGCCTGCCTCCTCTTATGTAGAGAACCATCTTTGGCCAATGTGATCATCTTATCTACATATTTTCTCATTGCACTTGCCCTAGCTCTGGTTGTTTTGATTCTACCATGCTTTAACAATTGCGTTGTGAGGCCTCTTAGTAGTGCACGCCGCTGGTCTGGGGGCCTGTTAAGCTTTGGTACACGCCTGCCATGTCGCATGGCATAAAACCTTCCCCCATTGTCTATGAGACTGATCCTATGATCAACATCAATACAATCTGTCGAAGAGAAATTTCATAAATAATAGATGTTGAACATACACCCACAGAGGTCTCAGCCTAGCTAATTGGACAAAAAACCCTCGTAATACACATAAATCTAGTTTTTTTTAACTTTTGAATTGCAATTAATTTATTCCATGGTAAATATATATAAAAAAATATTATCTTACTTTTACATGGTATAATTTCAGACAACAGAACAAAAAAATCAATTCTTCATACAATTTTATCGCAGAAGACTTCATCATGATGCCTATAGATATCCTTCTTTTCCCAGTCTAATTACTATAGATGACAAACAAGGTGTATAAGGAGATTGATTCTATAGAAAACTAACTACCACTCAATAAATAGATAGAGTAGGTTCAATTAAGTTACAAATGTTAAATGAATTGGTTAGATTAATCATGGAGTTGATTCCAGAAAACCAGCATAACTCATAGACAAACTGACCTTTTTTTCTCTTATCACATGGATTATCATCCTGGCCATAAAAGAAAGCAGCCATATGCGATTTGTGAACACAAATCCCTAGAAAATACAAGATAAGAAATATTGACAAGCTAATTTTGACTAGAAGATGGTACAATACACTAAGCATTATTATCATGATTTTTGTAGCTAGCTTTTCCCTAGAGCGAAAATAAATGAGCATACATCAATTTATACCATATGACACGAGCAATTGGGGATGTCCTCAAACCAAGCATCAAGGATAAGCCAGTTTCTCTGCTCTGCTTCCCTGCTTAGCAAGGAAACTGGCTCTAAATTGGTTGCTCTATCAATACGGTCGATGAAATTTTCCCCAGTAAAAAATGTCAAAAAATTTCATCAGTCAGGACTACAATCAATCCTACATTGGTGCTCCATCATACCAACCTAATGGTATTAAGTGAGTCACCTTCCAATTGTTCCACTATAAAGCCCCTAAGAAACATAGCAAACACCTAAGTCCCATCTAGAAACCCTCTGCTTCAACCATAACAGAGTCACAATAACCAACTAGCCTGAAACATAGCATTAAAGTCCTTGACAATATCCCACCCTTAAGGGCCATGGGTCCTAGTGGAGACACCATTCAAATTGAATCCAGATCAGTTTGGCCTAGTTCTGTGGAATTCCTCGAGGATGAGAAGCAAGAGATCAGGAAATTGACCTCTAATCACCTCACTGCTTGTGTATTTCTCATTGGAAAGTTTGTTATTCATCTCAATCCAAATGTCCCAAAAGATCAATAAGCAGCAAAAGTTACAGGGCAACCAGCAGCTTCTCTGAATTTCGCAAATCCTTTTTTTTATTGTTAAGTATATGACTTGAATTTGAGTATACAAGTGTACATCTTCTAAACTGTCTATTGATCCTACAAAGAGCCATTATCACTATTCAAGGGCCTTCATGTAATTGATTACAATGGTAAATGAAAAGAATTGGAGGCTATTAATCTTTTGCTTGATTCAAATATAGCGAAGAAAATGATAAAGCCTGATCATTTTACTAATCAAGATGGCGTTTTCTTTCCTTTTGATTTCATTGGATTCAGTCTACATAGAAAAAAAACAAACCATTCCGAAACCTGAAATGTCATTTGCTTAAAGATTCATAAATTACAAATATGGGTCAGGTTCTAAAACTAAGATAACATTTTTTTACCTCTCATCAAATTCTATTATCAGGCCCAACAAGGAAAATGACAACATATCTGTCCAAAAAACCTGTAATCTTCTCTGAAGTTATCGGAAAATCTATACGGGGAATTCATCCTGTAAATTCTAAGACTCTGAGTAATTACGATATCAGAAAATGAAAATCTCCTGACCAAGGTGGACATATGTATTATCCATGACAGGCATAAATCGCACCAAAAGTTGTAGAGAATTCCAAAATGAATGTGAACCATATATGGATAAAATGCAAAGCAATGTAAAGCTTTGAATTGGTTAAACATAAATAAATAAATAATCAAAGGTAAAGCGAGGCTTGCCATGGAAAATGCATATAAGGTGGAAGATTATAACCTGTATTGATGGGGAGAGGGTTTGCTATGGCTAATCCCGAGAAGGAACGGGAAATGCCTGGTGTTTTTCGGCGGGTTGTTTTGATGACGGGAAAATAAGAACCAGTGGCCGGAAATTTTCTCGCGACTGGCGTAGGTGGGAGAGCGGACCTCAGAGAAGCCATGCTCCATGTAGCTAAGCCTGTGGCAGCCATTGATGATAACCAAACCCTAAATCCCAACTCTACACCTCTTCATCCACACCACAGAGAAAGCTCAAACTGGATAACAGGGGAAAATAGAGCGAAAGAGCGGGATAATTAGATGTCCCTGACATTTCTATAAATGACCATTCGGCCCAGTGCGGGAAGGTGGTCCCCAGGCCGGAAAATTGTATTCGAGGACTATTTTAGGCCCCTTAGACCCTAGACAAACTTCTTTGCCCCCAATTTTTTTTTGTTCAAAATCGAAATATTTTGAGGATTACAACTGAATTTGTAGTCGGAATTGAAAGAAATTTCACTAAAATTTTTTAGGGATTAAAGAGGTTGTATAATAGAGTTTTTCACCATTGTACTTTTATTGGTTTTTTGAAAGGTTAGTAAATTTAAATATATATGTTTAAGGTTTCGTATTGTGATGAGACTTCATGACAATCATGAGGTTTTTTTTTTTTTTCTAATTATGATCATAAAATATTTATGAGTATGTTTGGTTATATTTGCTATATTATGATACCATTTACTTTTGGTACAAGGTGCTCACATTTAATCTTGATCATTGGATATAAAATTCGGTGGCTTCTTTTATATCATTGACCAAGTTCAATGTTCAAAATAAATTTTCTCTTACTTTGTCACACACCCACATTATTAGATTTCACATGGGAATATTGTAAGTAATTGTGACCTCCATGTACCAAAGGTAAATGGTTTCATTGTATGCAATCCCAAATTTAAATTGTTACTCTATGTATGATGGTGTGTAGAAAGCCGGATTCCACAATACCAGAACAATCTATTTCTCAATTAATGTGATAATGTCACACTAACCTAATACTCGCAAACAAATAGAAAAAAGAAGAAGAACCAAGGTGAAATAGATAAAAAAAACCATTAAAGAAAAACATGGGGTACACAAAGGTATTACAATCTCTATATACAATATTAACCTTAACACATATGACCCAATGTTCCCACCACAAACCTCTCTTTTAAATCTAAAGTTTTACAATCATATTTCCTACAATAACTACCCACTTATAACTATAACTACTAACGTACAACAATAACTACTAACCACCTAGTAGTTTCACAACTTCTTATTACACAAACTTACAAATACAGTAACATAAAGAGTAATATGGTTTCTAAAAAGAGTAATGATCCTATAGGACCCTCTCTCACCCTTGTGTGTAGGATCCCAAACGATTACCATTAAAGTTGGTACAGATCTTTAGAAAAGTTATCACATGGGTGTAGGATTTGACTTTTCTAAATATCTATACCAACTTTAATGGTAATCTTTCAGGGGGGTCCTACACACAAGGGTGGGAGACGGTCCTATAGGATCATTTATCTTCTAAAAAATACACTTAGACAAATTTAAGCTTGTAAAGCAAAATAATAAATTTTATAATATATATTTGACTATGTTTGGCTTTATTTGGCTAAATTTAATATATATATATATGGTAAAATATGGGATTAGCCAACTAGCTCATAAGAACATATGAGCCTAATGGCCAAGATTAAATCTGGGCCAATCTGACGATCATGGATGCCCGAAAGTACTTGAATTTAATTTTTTTTCTACATATCCAAATCACTTGAAATTTTAGATGTGTGTTCTTTTCATCAAGGCGCACCTAATAAAAATATAAAACAAATTATTTCAGAAAAACAAAAATTAAAATACCCCCAAAATATTTTGGGTTATTTTGGTCAATTTATTTCATATAAAATATTTTTTTGATATTTTTAAAAGAGTCACCTATTTTTTATGAACACACACCTGAAATTTCAAGTGATTTGGATTTGTAGATAAAAAAAAACTAAAATTCAAATACTACCGAACATCCGTGATTGTCAAATTGGCGTAGAATCAATCTGGGCTGTTGGGCTCATATGTTCATATGAGCTAGTGGGCTAATCCCATTTTTTTCTTATAT